CCCCCCTATCTCTCTCTCTCTCTCTCTCTCTCTTTCTCTCTCTCCCTCTCTCTCCCTTTCTGTGTGTACATGGTGCTAAAACTTACTGCCGGCTCCACTACTTGACTCTTTAATGCAGAGATTATGATTGTTTTTGTGCATGTGGCCGTTGGCGTATGCTTCTATGCTGTGTCATTTCGGCTTCTGGTGCGTGTAAGAAAAGGGAGGGTGGGGTTTGGAATACACCACGGATTGGACATATCTTTTTTTCACTCTCTATATTTGTTTTTCTTGCGCCCACCGGATCCCCACATGGACAAATTTAAGCTCTTTTATGTTCCATCATTGTATCGGTGAGCTAACGTAAATCTGGTACAGATTTAGGCGCTGTAGAAAGGAGAATCATACAACCGACTGTACGTTTAGTATTGCTCTTAAAAGCTATTTGTGTGGTTGGCGGGTGCTCTGGTGTAGTTTGTTTCTTCTTTCCTGTGAAACATCTATCGTCCTTATTTCTCCTTCTTCTTTTTTATGTTTGTTACTCTCTTGTAACACCTCTAATCTTCTGGTGGTCATATGACCTTATGCAGTTGCGAGCGCCGTAAAACCTCTACTAAAACTAAACAGAGACTATTTTCATATACGTTGCTCTAGGTGGTCTCAATACCCACTAGACATTGACCTACAGATGAATTATGAATGTGGGGGCCCCTGTATTTCTTGAGACTGACGGGAAAAATGTCACCTTGAAGTGGAGATATCATGTAGTAGATTTGACCTCGGGGGCCATTTTGAGCATCCCTTGGTTCCTTGTGAAACCTGATGAAGCTTTAACATTTATTTCTGTCTTTATCCTGTACTAGGAACAACTGTCTTTGTGCTACTGTATTAGGTCAGATCTTGCTGGAAATGCAGAAAAAAGTTACGTATTAAATGCAGAAAAAAGTTACGTAGGAATTCAGCTGTTTTAATGCATGCCACATTATTTATATTATATGACAAGTTTAACACATTTATAACGTAGAGATGCCCAATGACTGTCCCCTTTTCTTGCTCAAAATCAGAATCGCTTGGTATGTGCCACGGTGACCCCCCCTCCCCCCCTTAAAACACAGCATTACTGTGCAGGTGATTTGCTTGAGTTCTAGTATTGGCTGCCCCTTTTTCAACAGACCTTGACTTTGAATTTTATATTTCCTCAGCTGTTAATTTTAACTGTGTGTGTTGTGGGTGGTTGTTGTGGGTGCTCTGGTGTGGCATGCTCCTTCTTTCTTATCAAACATCAATCTTTCTCCTCCTTCTTTTCTTTGTATGTTACTTTCTAGTAACACATCTTATCTTCCTATTTGTGTCGCAAGTGCCTTAAAACTCTTACTGAAAATTGGTGGTAGGTGAGTGCTATGGTCAGGTGTGGTTTGCTCCTTCTTTCCTATTAAACATCTATCGTCCTTATCTCTCCTTTTTGTGTTGTTATTCTCTTGTAACACCTTTATTCTTCAGCACCTGTATGACCTTACTGTGTTGCAAGTGCTGTAAATCTCGTATGAAAACTAAAAACTCCTACTAAAATTCTTACTAAATCTAAAACTACTGTGTCGTTGCAGGCTCAAGTACGCCATCGGTGCCATTTTCTCGCAAGCATCCTCTGTCCAGCTGGTTGTCCAGCATGCTCATCTGCTTTGCGGGCAGCATCATCGCCAACATGCTGCTCGGGGAGCCTCTCATCACACCATTCAAAGACCATCAGAGCATCTTGACAGCCACCGCTGTCTGGTGAGTAGCAAGCCCAGATACACACGGGTTTTCAGGAAATCAGAGATGTACAGTCGAACCTGCTCTATTGACTTGCCTGTCCACCAAGACAACAACCTGTGCAAATGACCACTTCCCACCTCCCCCCTTGCATATTTTCCATACGAGTCATGCCGTGGTGGAATCAGGCGTTCGTCAATTTTTTGGGCATGTAGAGTTACTGGTATCCTCTTAAAACTTGTTCATTTGTCTTCCATTTAGCGAAAAAATAAATTTATCTTTAATACAAGGTGAGATATTATCGATTGAAGGAGGAGGTCACATTTTTTCAGGGGTAAAATTATCAAGAAAATGGCCGCCAAAGTTAGGTTGTTTCCAGTTTCCATAGTTTGAGAGTCAGTGAAAACGGAAAATTTGCATTTTTTGTTCCTTTAACCAACATTTTACAGTAAAATCCACTTGGCAATGTGTTCTTTAATGGTTCAATGGACATAAAAGATGTTGAGCCAAAAAACAACAATTTGATAAAAATTGCTAAAACTACAGAAAAATGCCAGTTTCTACAATTTCATTATTTTGACGAGCGCCTGATTTCAGCACGCTGCATCACATATTATTATGATATTACGAGGACTGTCTGTCCAATATGAACACTTTTCTCCTGGACAAAGGACGGTTGTCGTGGACAGGCACTGGGGTATTTTTATGTCATTAGTGGATGTTGATTTATGGTGAATCTTATAGACACTTCTCTGAATTATTGAAGTCGAATTTTTCATCTCAGACCACGAAAGGTTTAGAATATGAGGTCCTCATTTATAATTATTATTCAGGTCCCACTAGTTTACTGTAGGGTGGTTGGGGGAGGGAGGGGTGGAAGGGGGAGTCAGAGTGATTTAGAGACACTGATTTATTGTAAAATGTGTACATACATTTATGTGCTGTCAGGTACCTTGTGAACTACTCCCCTTTTGACCTGGTCTACAAACTCGCCAAGTTCCTTCCCGTAAAGCTGGCGATCTGTGTGCTGAAGGAGACACAGCGAGCACACAAGGTCTACCATGGGGTATTGGTGGCCGCCAAGCTGTACCCTAGTTCCTACCTTGTTATTATCATGGTGGGAACTCTAAAAGGTAAGAAGATGGTTGGCGGGTGCTGTGTTGTGGTTTGCTCCTTCCTTTCAAACGTCTTTCGTCTTTATCTCCTCCTTTTTTTGTTTTTTACTCTCTTGTGACCCCTTTAAGCTTTGGAACTTATATTACCTTTGTTGCTAGTGCCGTGAAATACTAACTTAAACAATAAAAGATAACCTTCTGCTAAAATGTTCCATCAGCTTAGACAAAGCTGTGAATTATGTTGGCTTGTTTGTTTTGTGTGATAATGTCAAGGACTCTCAGTGAATGAATCTCTTATCCTGTTTTAAACAAAGTTGTAGGTGGGCACTTTTTGTGGGTAGCTTTGACTTCTTTTTTGCTGTCCTAAAACATGCTTTTGCTATAGTCTGGCAGTTATCATGCTAACTTCTATACACTTCTACTCTACTTATCTTCTTCTGACTCACACTAAATGAGTTATGTTGCGAAATAGAGTTTTTCCCTATGTAGATGTATGCTCATCCTTTCCTTGCTCAAAATAATTAACTCTATAACCCTGAGTGGATGATGGGAGCGTCCAGTGATGCTCGCCGGGTCCCCGAGTGGACGGTCAAGCATTCTGTCAGATCAGAGAGTGCATGGAGCATTACTGCTAGTAGTGCATTTTTTTAACGAATCAGAGTAGATTTATTTTGACTTGAAGTGCTAGATAAATGTATAAACTATTTCCTCTTTCACTTTGACAGTTTTAGCCATTTTAAGAGTATATATTTTGCCAGTATCCCCTGTTATGTGTTTCTCGAGATCTGGAAAAAATTCTGTCAAAACGTGGGAAATAATCTGGAGCTAAAGAGTTGAAAAGAAGAAAAGCTTTTAGTCTTGTGGTATACAGCATTTTTAGTGCCAGAAATTGAATGGTTTTATTTTCTATTTTGCTCCCTTTTCTAATGTTAAAATTTTTTGCTTTTATTGTGGATTGAATGTGCTCTTGACCTGTAACTTTTCTGTTCATCCCTCCCTTGCTGTTGTCTTATTCTTTTCATCTGTTTCGAAACCAGCTTCAGATAGAGCTAGTAAAGATATGTTCACATGTTATGTTGTACACAAGAAAAAATAATTGCAATGTTAATACAACAACTCTTCTTTTTACAGAAAGAAACCATTTTTTGCTGAGCTTTGTCTGCTTTTCTCCACTCTTTTGTGATCAGGTGCTGGCAGTGGGCTGATGAAGAACTTTGACCGCTTGATTCGAGGCATCTGGATCCCAGGCAATAACGAGATCCTGCAACCTTCTTTGTGAGTATAGCACTCTATCATCATCATCATTAATGCCTTTCACCCTTGGCAGGGTATAGGCCACATACAAGCTCCTTCCATTTGTCTCTGTCCTGGGCCATCTATCCTAACTCTTTTCCAAGTGAGCTTCATCTCTCTCATGTTCCTTTTCACACATCTCCTCCATGTTTCCTGTAGCCTACCCCTGCCTCATGCTCCGTGTGGGTTCCACTGCTGCGAATGTCTTGTGATGTTTCCAGTGGGCTTTCTGAAGGTGTGTCCCGTCCGTCGCCTCTTTCTTAGTCCTATTTTTATTTTTGTATCCTTTTGTCATGTCCTTTCCCTCAGCTCTTCATTTTTTATTCTATCCTGCCGCTTAATTCTTAGGATACTCCCCATATATCTGTTAATGAAAGTCTGGACTTTGTTCAGCTACCTCCTGGGGCGGTGCTACTGACTGAAGTGTCTTTAGGCCATTCCCAAAGGGGGGACATTAACATGTTCTTATGCACAATAGAATTGTAAATGTACTGATTCATCAATGTCATGCTCATAACTGTGCCTGAATTGCAACGGGGAACTGCTGCTTTTTCTTTCCTGATCTGTACTATCGTCATTTTTCCTCTACTTCTTTTGTATGTCTTTCCCACTCATGTGACCCTCTATTTCCGGGATGCCTTGATAATCGAAGCAGACTTTGTGCTGTTGAGGCTAGAGTGGTGAGCGGAGTAAGCCTGATTCCCTGTAAGGACGTCTCTGTTGACGTCCATCCCTTGGCGCTCATATGACCTTATGCAGTTGCAAGCACTGTAAAACCTCTACTAAAACAAACAAACAACTTTTTTCAGCACTGTCTTTGTTGTCTTCCAAAATTTCACAGCTGTAGAATAACACTATGCCATTAACAAATATATATATATATAGATATATTAGGGACGGTGTCATCTTCACGTGTACTCTCGAAATAAGCTTGGATTTATGAAGTCAGCTGATCTATGTGAAAGGTAGTAGATTGTTTAAAAATCCGTCCATAATTTCACAGAGAATAAGGAATGATTGGTGATAGGGTGGTGTTTGGATGCGCTTTTGTTGAGTTTTACAACTTTTAAGCCTGTGCTTTTTTTAAAACCTTGAATCTAAAGAGAAAACATTTTGTATGGTAAATATGCGTGACTTTACCAAAGCAGTTAATTTTTCTTATTTCCGTACAGACCTATGTATTTGATTATTTTATCGAAAACTGGTTTGTTGTAAATTTTCTTCCATTGGCCTGTAGCAGAACGTTTAGGACATTTAGCTAGCGCTTGTGCAATTGCTTATTCTTAAATAAGGGGAAGGTTACTATGGCTTTGTTTGAATTTCTCTTGAATGAACGTTTTATATTTTATGTACAAACATAGTTAGATGTCTCAGTAATGAAGGTTTTAAAGTTAAATGTATTGCCATGTTCGAGGTTTGATTGGAAAACGCCAGTTTTAGGTAGGCTATGCTTTTTACTAGTTTGGCTATTTGGTGAGCATATTTTCTCGACGCAGTGATGTTTGCTTTATATTATCGATGCTCTTCTCATTATCTCAGACAAGGGGTTATGAGAATTCAGGTGTGCTCTGCTTCTTCTACGTCATTGCAGTGTTTTGTTCTAAATTATTTCTGGTGAATTGCTGCCCGTTTTGTATTAATTTCTTCCTGTATGTCGATATAGCTCAGATTGTCTCATTTCAACATTTTATTCTGTTTTTCAGTGCTACCAAAGCCAGCCTGGTGGCCTCTATTGTGTTCCTGTGCGAGCGCCTGAATCTGATCGCTGTGCCCCACCCACTCATCTACTTTGGCATTGTCCTATTCTTCGTCTACTTCAAGATCTCTTCTGTGGTGCTGGGCATCCACGACCCGTTTGTGCCACTGGAGAACCTGTTCTGCGCCATCTTCTGCGGGGGCATGTGGGACGCGCTCAGACGTGCCGCCAGCAAGGAGCCCACCAAGGAGGAGGAGAACAAAGACCCACGTAATGATGTCATCAAGTCCAAGGACGAGAAGAAGAAGGATTAAACTTGTGCTGCCTAGCAAGGAGCCCACCAAGGAGAAAGAAAACAAAGACCCACTTAATGATATCATGAAGTCCAAAGAGGGTTAAACTTGTGTCTAAAATGCTTATGATTCTAGATCTGGGGAAAATCTTCCAGATTTTTTTGTATTCAGTTGTATATTAAAGAGCTTATGGAGGAGAAGAAGAACAAACAGATTTTACGTCCCAAGCTCTGATGATTTCCTGAACTTGGTTATATCTTTTTAACCAATGTGCCAGCATTTGGACAATAAATATTTATCTTGTCGTATATTCCTATCTTATCTTTGGTCTAATAGTATAGGATTATGTCCAAGGTGTTGAAGGATGAAATCATATTTAGTACTCTATCGTAATGTCTAGCCCTGGTGGCTTCAAGACTTTGACTACGTCTTATAAGTCTTTAGCCTTACTGTGCCTCAACCAATTATCTCGTTTCATTAACAAAACAGAATTTCTTTATCAGACGGTTAAGACTCTTTCCAGAAAGACAGGAATGGTATAGTTTAATTTTGCTGCTGAATTTGAGCCAAATGATGCTCATTACAATGGATTTTTTATTATGAAGGTTTCACTTGAAGAAACATGTCCTCTTAAGAAAAGATGTGATAACTTGAGTCAAGTTTCAAAAGGTTTTTCATGCCAAAGAGAGGAGTTGTTTGTGAAATAGGTACACATACTGATGAAAAGATTAATGTAGTTAGAAGTTTTGTTTCTTTTGCATCTGTATATTTAGATGTCTTCTTTGTGAAAGAATTTAGTTACCATTCAAAGTATCAACTTCATTAAGTTTGGTCTAAGTCCATTCCGTGTTTGGCTCTTTGTGCATGTGAAAAGTTTGTATTTGTCAATTTTGGGATGAGGTCTGAAAGCGAAGCAGCTTCTCTCCAACTGAAGCTTCTCGTTTTCTTTCAAGAAGAACTTTAAAGTTTGACAATTCAAAAGAAGAATGTGTTTTGAGAACTTGACAAATCACATGGTCTTTTTCTTTATCAAACTGCAGGCTTGCCAACTGGCCCCAGTTTCATGGCACTGTCCCGGGTTCGACAGTTGGATATTTGAGAGCCCTTTTACATACACAACATCCAAACCAGTCCCACTGTATGTAGTTTTGTTCATTGTTTGCTATTCTGGAGTAGGGTGTCCCTGGTTGGGTTTTGAAGATGTTGGCAAGCCAGAAACTGAAAAGTTATGATGTAAAATGATAACCACAGTATTTACAATACTCATTTAAAAAAACAAGAAACAAACATTGTTGGTCTTCACATATTTAGACAGAGCTGGGAAATACTTTCAAGTATCTGATTTTGTTTCAAGTGTTTTGTTACAAAAAGTTTATTTATAAAGATACACACAGTATTTTGAACTTGGCTATTTCGTCACAATTGTCTTGTCGGTGTATGTGTTTAAGGGTGAAAAGGTCTGCAAGGGGCTGTCACGTTTCATTTTCCAGAGCTTTAAATCCTAAAAAACAGACATCAGGTTTTTTGTTTTATCGCTAAATGCTCTGCTGCATAAAGGAAACAGGCAGCATTGACAGTATTTGCACTATATGTTGAAGAATCTATTGTAGATTCTGAGATCTAGTGCAAAAATAAGAATAAGATGAAAATTAAAGGAAGCTTTTCCTTTTCTGGCCCTTTGATTGTCTGGGCTTGAATTCATTCGTCTGAAATTTAGATGAATGTGTAGCACCAGTTGTTTTTTTTATAACTGATTACTTGTAGCATGACAATGTGAATGATATTACTCTGCAGTTTGTTCCCCTGCTACTATTAGCTGACTCGAGCAGATGCCACCATACATCAGTAGGTTGTGCTTCATGTTGACCATGACATTAAGAGGTCCACATCATATCAGAGTCATGCTTTTTCAAGGAACTCATGTTAGCTCAACTTTCTTGGTGCAATGTATGTTGACTTTGTGGCATCATTAGTGTATATTCACCCTGGCAAACAGAAAATTTGAACCTTTTGTTTTGCTCTTTACTTTTAGAGTACACCGTCGTGTATTGGAGCTCTCAGCAATCAAAACATTCTGCGACAAGATTATGTCTGCATGATAAATACCTGGTAGCTTTCAGAGAGCTGGATGAAGTTTTTGTATTTCTTTGTTTAACTTTCGAGCTCATTTATACCCTGCGTCTGCAACAAGGCACAGTTTCTTGTGCAATGGTATTAAGTCATGTGGGCTACTTGGTTACCTTACATTGACAATTGTTTTTGTAAAAGGAGTTCTAGAGAGGCTTATAAATGCATAGTGACAAATTTATTACTTCCTTCTTCACACTTTTTATCCACTTCTGTACTTTGAGCATTTTGTTCTGTGTAGCCTATTTAGAAGGCTTATGGTGTTTTTGTGTATTTTTTAAAATTTTCTTTTTCCTCCTGCTGAAAAGTTGGCAAACAAGATCTGTGTAATTTTATTTTTTTGTTGTTGTTACCTTTGAGTTATGATTTGTTTTTGTGACAGATATTTTAGTCAGATGTTTTAACCGCTCTGATCTAATGCATTGTTTTCTTGAGCAAATCAAATTTTTAAATGGTGCGTTGGCTTTTTTTGAGGTCTGAAGAAGTGTGTTTTTGTGCTAAAGTAGGGTATGTAAAACTTGATTTTGAATGCTTCAGTGAAAAATGAAACTGTGTGTGTGTCTGTATTAGAATACAATACAGTCATTGTGACTTTGACACCTGTTGTTGACCTAGTCCTCACATGTTACATGGCAATCAAATCAGACCTACTTTTATTTATATATTCCTTCTCTTTTCAAGATGAACCTTGTTTGTTCAACTTCCTGTGTTGAACTTGTGTAGGTTTTCTTGGGCCGTTTTGTTTAGATTTGGTGTTTATTTTGTCTGTATTTTATGAACCCGCGCTGCATCAAATAAGATGTTTTATTGTGTCTGTCATGACAAAGAAAGGGTCTTTTTAAATTTCAGTTTGTGTGAAGTTTGATCCTGAGCCCACCCCCCATTCTGTTCATCGAATGGTACCATATCCATGTGTGTCTGAGTAACTTATCGCGTGTGTGAGTGAGGGCATGTGTTAGGATGTGTCGTGTGTGTTTGTATGTGTGCGTACATGCATGTGTGTGGGTATGTGCGTGCTGGCATGTGCATGTGCGCAATCACATGTGGATGGATTTAGCAAAGTGTAGGTTTTTCTTGAAATTTGCGGTTTTCCCAGTGGCCCACTGATTCTCAACTGTCCGGTAATAGGCTGGCAGTCGAGAAGATTCCCACCCCCTTCTGTCCTGGTAGCCACATTCCACCTATGTGCATCTGCCCCTGCTCAGTTATTAGAAAGCTTGCAAGCTGCTTCTTCCTTGTGCCAAACTAGAGTAGATGGTTGCAATGCTGCACCAGTGATGGATGTGAACTTTTTTTGTCGTCCCCCTTACCCAGACCCCCTGTGTTTGACCACTGAACCTTAACTCACACTGATGTTGTTTCTGCATTTGTTTTAGTTTCTGTATATATTTGGTTGTAGTTGTAGTAATTTATTTGCTTTTTAGAAATTTAGTAACTTTTTGTTGTTGTTGTTGCTGAGAGATGAGCTCGAAAGAATTTCATGTACATCTGTGGGAATTTTCTCTCTAATATATGTACAAGTGTACTTATATGGACATATCAAAGTGGACAATCTCTAGTAAGAATTTGCACTTCTTCAATCTCCGAACTCATTTTCTGGGTTGCATGAGGAGTAAATTTAGTTTATGTGATGTGTGATTAGGGTCAACTCATGGTTCTGATTCAAATCCTTGACAGGGCATTCTAGAACTCTGGTTGTATTGGAGTTTTTGATCCAAGGCTCTCCACCCACTTGGCTGAATCCAATTGGAGTTGGAGACTGACATTAAATTCTAAAATTGTGCTCTATAGGTTACCTCAAAGTGTTTATCGGAGGGACATATTGTATCCACCACAAACCATGCCTCCCATTCTTCTCTCAACATGTGGGTGGTTGGCAGGCGCTTTGGTATGGTTTGCTCCTTCTTTCCTTTGAAACATTTAGAGCCCATATATCCTTCTCCATGTTTTCTTTGTATGTTATTCTCTAGAAATACATCTAATGTTTGGCATTTATGTGACCTAATGTTTGTTGCAAGTGCTGTAAAACTAACTTGTAACTAAAACAAAAAAACTGGTCGGGTCAAAAGCCAAGAAAGTTTCATTGGTCTCACTTCCCTTATATTGCCTAAAATACTAGTTGCAAATTCTTTCTGGCTGTGATGATACATTTAATTCCTCAGAATAAGGCAAGGGACTTTGATGTTGGCAGCCCTGGTTCAAATCTATATCACCAGCAAGCTGTTTGGAGAGTCTTCAAAGTTCTAAATTGTTGAGGTGGGGGGTGGAGGAGAGAATTGTTTTGTGGTGGAATGCTTTCCAATAGCCAAAAGTTGTGTTAAAATGGGTCCTACACTTGAGAGTCTTTTATTCTGTCTTGTGAACTCCACTTATAAATGTATGATTGGAGAAATGTCGTATGATCAGTCAAGCAGTTGAGTTTGAATGGAACTGAATGTATGCATATCCTGCCAGCTGAGTTTATTACGTACAAGGATAGAAGACTTGCCCTACGGCGCCCACATCTCATCTCGTCCTCTATGCTTCCGATCCCTGCCCCCTACCCCAACCATTTGTCATTTCCTATGCCCTGCTGCTCCACCTCCCAGTCCTGTACAAGTCTCAGAGCTGACCGCCTTGAGCAAATGCTAGTTAGTGTGTTGTAGTGTGTCTGAACCGTCTCTGTATTTTTATTTTTATCGTATTTCGCATTATACACTAGAAGCCATTAATAACTTAAATCAATCCTCTTTTGTACACCTGAATTATTAGCATGATTAAATCTCTGACCCTTGAAGCTTGTTTCTCCTTCTCATTGTCATGTCAGTACTTACTACATTGTTTGTTGTCATCTACTTTTCTTTAATAGAAAGTAAGTATTATAGATCTTGAGGTATGAAAAACCAAGTGCAATTTTGTTTTTGTTTTTGTTTGTTGTAGATACAGTTTTTCAGTGTTTCCTGGATTTTAGAAACTTTCCTGGATTTGGGAAGATTTTAGATTAGATCAATTGGACATAAATGAGTTTAGCAAAGGCTGTGTTGGAATTGCTTCATGTAGATACTCCCACACAGTTCTTCATTGCATTGAGAGATGCCTTTTGACATTTGTCTCTAAATTATGGTAGATTTAGATCTATATCTGGGTATAAAACTACATGTTATTAGCTAACCCTGATTCTCCATAATGAGATAAGTTGTGTACCTCTGCTGTTCTTAACAAATTGTTAATAGAGATATTTTGAGTGTCTTCATGCCAAGGGGTTGAATCTTTTGCAAGATCACATTCTGTCTTCAAGTCAGCTAATGAGGCTGTCAGTTTTTAACCTCACTGTTTGTAAAGTGCAGATGAAGATGAAGATCCAAATGTAATTTCGATTAAAACCTTTTGGTTGAGACTTGAGATCTGGCTCATTTCACTGACTTTTCTCTGCTCATATTTGCTTTATCTTACTGGGTTTCTGTCTGTTTTTCGTTTCTCTTTCTTGTAGTCTATCTTCTTGTGCTATTTTCTTTCTTCCTTTTCCCTCCCTCTTTCTTTCCCTATTTTTCATCCTCAAAGCCTCCTTTTTTGTTAGTGTTTCTATCTAAGTCTATGCTCACTGGGCTAGCTTCTTGATGTACTGAAAATAAAAGGTCAAAATATTTTTCATTTCTGGTTTGATGAATGTGTTGCACATTTATTTATTATGACAGTACCCTCAACTCTTTCATGACCAATACATCATATGTCATGCTTCTAGCTGTGTGTAAATAATACGTTCTTTAATAAACCAAGTAGGTTTCATTTTTTTGGGGTTGACTTTTAGTTAAGGCGTATTGACACAATGAAGATCCCAATTCCATTCCAATGATAAAGCTGGGACTGGGAAGATCTCATAACTGGTGTCTGTGGTGTAGCGGTTAGGCGCTTTGCTGGCACACGAAGGAGACCTGAATTTAATTGGCGTGTGGGAAGACATTTTTATCAACCGTCTCGGTCTTCTGCTGGGATGCTGTATCTCTCTCAGCCCAGGTTGGCCCTGACAGGCAAGGTCAGAAGCCCATCTTCCAAAATGATTTAAATTGTGTCAATGATGACATAAAATCACCGATATCTTATAAGAAAAGGAACTCCTTACAGAATTTACAGAGTCCTGGAAATAAAGTAAGTTTGATGTACTTAAGTACTTTTTAAGAAGTTTTCCTTTGCAGTAAAGGGGTAAGAAGACTTTTCCATTCCTCATGAAATAAGGTGCATAGTCATGAACACATTTGAACATTTTTGTGGTAAGTTCCCTCTTTTGGTAGATTTACGGCAACATCCAGTAGAATTTTCCTGACCATCTTTTAGACTTCACACCTTTCTTCAAATGAATAGTGGAGCTCAAAGTTTATCCTTCTGGTTTGGGTCTGATTGCGATGTAATTTAACTTGGATGTTTCTGAATGACATTAACCTATCATAGTTACAGAACTCACCATCAGTATGTAATACACTTACCCCTTCCCAGCAATGACTTTCGCACTGTGCCAGTGAGGCATTTTTTCACTTGAGTTGTTTGGGGAAGTTTTCACATCTGTTCACCCACTTGGTCTGGTCAAGTTGGAGATGGACTCTATATATAGGCCTACTATTTTTTTTTTTTTTTCCATTTTAAATATAGGTGTTTTACACCTCCATTGACACATTTAAGATCATTTAGGAGGTGTGGGCTTCCAACCTTGCCTGTCAGGGCCAACCCAGCAGAAAGATGGAGATATTTGATAAAAATTTCTTTCCACTCTGGAATCAAGCACAGGTCTACTGTGTGCGATAACGAAGCTACAACACAGATGTCAGTGGACTATATTTGGAGGTTAAAAAAAAACGACTTAAAACCATTTTATCTCTACAAGAAATGAATAATGCAGTTGTGAGGAGTTGTAATGGATATATTGATGACGATCATTCAGGGGGTCTGGAGAAAGCAAGCATTTTTTTGTGAGATAAATGATATCAGTAGTGCACTCCGTAAACACACGAGGGCGCTCTGTTCGCTCAGTTGGTGTCATTCTTGACAACGGAGCGGATGGCCCCGGTTTAATCCTAGATAATATTGGGCGTTCTTCAACTCGGGAGTTTTCAAAGCACTCAACCCATTTGGTTCGATCCAATCGGAGATAGACATTTATTTGGAGGTCCCGACTATTAATATTAAAATAACCTAACAGTGTTGATAGGGGCATAAACCCGTACATGTTTTTTAACAGACATATGATAAAGGTTGCATGGAGATTGAGACTTGCCTTCTTCTGGCCTGTCAATACATGCTACTGTCATTATAATTATAAACAGGGATGAATGTCAAACATTTGCCTCTGAAATGCCTGAAAATTATGTTGAAAGGGGCTTAAACTTTAAAGCCTGTGTCAAATCTTAAGATTCTGATATATTGCCTCTCTAGATAACGGCTGTTATTACAGTAGCCCCCCCCCACTATTATTATGGAAAGGGGAAAAAAATCCCCAGTGCATCCTAATATACTAGCAAAGGCACTTGATTCATAACCATCTGACTGAGGTAGGATCACAAGGATGCTGTATCAAAGGAGCAGGAACCTGACTTTGTTTCATAGATCTGTTCTCGCAGACGGAAATGGGTATAATTTGTCAATTAACACAAATGGAAGTAGATCTAGATATCTACAGTAAAACTTTTATAACATGAACATCCGACTTCAAGGGACCAGAGAATTTTTTGGTGAATTTTTTGAAAAGCAGATTTCATGATTAACTCTTTATCTCCGAGGGGGGTAAACCCACTACGCTGGGGCACTTATTTTGGTACCAAATCTTAAAATGACAAAAAGTAATTAAATTGGTCATTAAATCAAAACTGGCAAACCTGTTTTGACAGTTCTTCATCTAATGAATGAACTTTCGATATAAGAGACCTGTTTTCGGCAATCGCGAAAAGTAATTTGATATCGAAGTCGTCGTAAAGGAATGCCTGAGCTGCTGTCAGCACTCACCGGCACAGCGGTTCCGCCCGCGAGCCGCTTGCCGCAAATAAAGTTAAAGAGTTAAGGGGAAAATGCAAACCATAGAACGAAGAAGAGGGAAGGTGGGGGAGGGGGGGAATTTGAAATTCTTTCATGTTATCAGGAATTTCGTGTTAAACAGACATGCGTTAATTGGGAATGGCAGAGTTTGAAAGCCCACCAGGCTGTCGTGCAGGAAAATCTGAAAATCTGAATTTACCACACCAAAGAAAGTTATAGTTAACTCAAGAAGGCCTGTGATCAGATAGGACAGAAGACAACTACATGTATTACTATTAGTATAAACAACACATTATTAACTTCAACTTTTCCATGTAGGGTAACTCTTTTTGTAAGTCTTTATTATGAGGCAAAAAGAATCCTTATTAATGGTTGGTTAAGTCCTACACATAGTGACATACTGTATTCTTCATGGATGGGACCCATGAGTATGTTAACACTTTGCCGTCACATCTCGCTAACCTGCGATGTTTACCACCAGTTTCTATGGATTTTCCCCAAAATGCCTTTGCCTTTGATGGCAAGGGTTTTTACTATCTGAGCCTTGTGATGGCAAAGTGTTAAGAAAGCAAAAAGATGCATCGGAGGAAAGCAAAAAAAGTGCATTCAGAACTGTCTGGTTTGCAAATAAAAATCTATAGAAGTAGTAGACATAACATTTTTTTAAAAGAACAAAACTTTAAAACGATCAAACAAGCAGCAAAAAGTAATACTTCAACTTCAAGTATGGAGCATAACCTATTTCTGCTGTAAGTCTACAATCAACATTTGAAAAAGTAAAGTACCATCCTTATGGCAGTGCTGTCCAAAACACTATGTCTCCAACTACTACAAGTCATACCTCGGGGGATCATTTTGAACAGATCATGCAGCCAAACAAGGAAAATTGGATAAGGGTACATAATATTGGAGAAGAGCAGTGATTCTTCCCATGATGAGAAAGTCACCAAATTCACATTCTTATAACTGGAACCTCTCTACTCTCTTCAATATGGTAAACATAGAGGCATTGTGAGTGTCTTAACCCTTTCAGTGCTGAGGTGTTTCCATCTATGTGTGTACAAACAAGATAAAATGTTCCCTCCAGAGATGTAAAGAAAGTCGTAATACCTTTTTTGTAATGTTTTTGTAAAGTGTTTTACGGCGCTCGCAACTGCATAGCTCATATGAGCGCGCGGGACACTCCTAATGTTTTCAGTTGGTAGGAAATTTTGAATTTTGCCCGGGCTTTAGAACACCAAGGGATCTTTAACATGCGCAACTTGCACACGGGCCCTCCGAGATTTTTCGCCCTTTTAATACCTTTCCCCTTAGTAAAATAGGCAAAAATTGCATAAATTGCATGTACATCTCCTAACATGTTCTCTTTATGTCAGTTGATAAAATGACAATGAACCAGTTTGGGAGACTACCAAGCAGTAAAGTGGTGAAACTTAAACCTCTGCAGAGTTGTGATTTCTGTATCAAAATATCACAGTACGTTGACACACGGATACAGGCAGCAGTAAATAATGTGTAAATATATATATGAAAAAATAACAAGGGAAATAGATCTATAGTACCACCCAAGGGGAAAGAAGGCTGCTAGTTAACAAAATACATCTGTTTGATGTAAAAAAAGTGTCACTTTAACTAGGTCGAGCAGCCTGCAGACACCACAGTCCCACCCTTTCCAACCTGCCCCAAAAGACAGAAATGAAGTCTGTGCCCAAAAATGTTTCAAAAGTGAAATCTTATCATTATACAGTGGCTACACTTTAGACAGATTTACTTTGCAGGACACACTAAAATTAAAAATTTCCAGATAACTAACCTACTAAGACATAGCACCATAAATGTTTTTGAAAGTTTTAAAGGTTTGAAGTTTTTACTTACTGCATTTTGCTAACCATGCCAGATCACAAAGCAATGGACACTAGTGAGCTTTTCACAACAGGCAATTTCAGCCTTCACTTAAAACAATTTATGACTTTATACACCATGCCAAAAAAAGACACGATTTGACACAGTGACTTACTCTTAGCATAAATAACACAACACAACCGCAAACTGTCTCCATTAAACATTGAGCAATTCAGTAATATACAGTAATACGTTATATATGTAAAACCACTTTCTGCATCCAAAACTGTGGGGAACGTAAAAGATACCCATTAAAATTAAATTGACCAAAAACAATTTCTGATTGTAGGACATTTAAAAAGAAAAACCAAAAAATTAAATCTGAGTCGAGATCTTGCAATATTTCGTTGAACTTAACATCATAACAATGACAATCTTTATTCATCTCACAGGGAGAATTTCGTCTTGGTCAATTACAAAGGCAGTGGTGTTACAAATTGCACGTCATGATCCATGTCCCAAGAAATCCACGTAAGTCCATTCGGGTACCTTTTACACCAGAGACAAAAGGAGTTTTCGTTGTGTTGTTCGATCAGGAATCATGAAAAGCAAGAAAATTGTTGGTCATGACCATAGCACTAGACTGCATTTTGGTGACGTTGAAAGGTGCATCTTTGATAGACCTTTGGGAAGGTAGGCTATAAAAATCGAAAACTTTCCAAATTTGGACTAACGTGGATTGCTCGTGACAGGGACGATGTGCACTTACTCATACACACAACAGATGTATAACATTACCACAATAAAATCAACAAAAACCATTCACTTAAGCTCTCAGTTCAATGAATCAACACATGTAAATAAAAAACAACGGTGGCAACTGGAAAAGATATTATAAAACTTACTTTCATAAAAGTTAGATAGTGGGGTCAAAGTCATTGGCTGCTCTATGTACTAATAATCACTATCGTAGGTCAATGCTGAATTATACATTTTATAGTATAATATTTCCATAAGTTGTGTTGACATGATCAAACTTACATATGTATATATATTCATCTCAGACTGCCTGTTACAAGGAGGTATAATTGATATAATGCTGGTCCCTAAAACATGCACAACTGATTTTGTTACACCACAGAGTAGCTAACTGAACAAGAAATAAATACTTGTATACACCCTGCTTACAATAAAGTACTTCCCAAGACCAGCATGATCATTGCTTCATACACATCAGATTTTTCACTCAGTCAACTCTTGTGATCTGTTAACAATAATTATTTGCCCAGTAACAAAACATTCAATCACCAACAACTGACAACAAAATTCACATAAACTCCATGGAACAGATATATCATGTATGTGTCAGGTTTTCATTTGGTCCCTAGTAAACATCTAAAGTAGAAAAAAACGTCAATGATATCGACTGTTGAAGAAGAGGCAGACAAAAATGAATGCGAATTCAATATATATAAAAGAAAAGTTCTTTTCACAAACTTTACAAACAGCCCAAGGAAAGTTGTTCCTGACTCATTTATGGTCAGAACTTTTGAAGTTAAAAATTTTGCAACCAATGACTCAAACCTAGAGGCAAGCTCAGATGTAAACAATGTCGATATAAAAATTAATGTCACGATATCTGACAAACCACAAAGCACTCTCATAAAAGTATCTTAGCATGGATCAGACATTCAATTAAAAATCTTTTGAAAATTCAATGCAAAAAAGATATCTATTAAAGCCTACTTAATTCTTCTTCTTGTCAAGTTTGTCCTTCACTGGATCCTTTGCAGCCACTTTCTCCTTGCCAGTGCTGCCGAACAGAACTCTACATATCGGCAGCTCAATGGGCAGGAAGGGGTCTTTGATCCCTGCAACAGCTGTCAGCATACGACAGATGATAAACACAGCGACGACACCAAGGTACAGGAACTCGATGGGCACGTTGAGGAACTTGAAGTGGTGAAGGAGGAACAGGAAGCTTGCGTACAAACCAGACTTGGCGAAACTGTGGACATAAGGTGTGTTTAAAAGTTGTTTGAGTTTCTTATTTAGTTAAGTTTAGTTTCAGTAAGAGTTTTTCTGAACTCGTGACACAATTAGATCATAAAAGTGTTGAAGATTAGAGGTATTACTAAAGAAAACCAATCAAAGAAAAGAAGGGTGAAAGATGAGGATGGAAGACATTTGATAGGAAAGAAGGAGTAAACCCCACCAGCGTAGCCGCCAACCACCCATCTTCTTATTTACAGTACAGGATTCACCATAAGGAAGCAAGAGTAAGAGGACACAGTGGATGGCAAGCACAAAGAGATGTTGATATCAAATACATATGATAGATTTAAACTGTTGTACATGAAGCAAAGAGTCTAAAATGTGTGTGAGGGAAAGAACTCATTCACTTCTTTTTCGAACATCATCTCAGTGAGTACCCGGTAGTTGCTCTCGTTTTGTGACAAAGCTTATGATCTTGTTGATAATGTTCATGAAGTAGCAGTCAGCTGAGCCTGTTTTTTTTAATAGGTATTCACAAGTTCTTTTTTGGGTTTTTTTGGTCGTATTAACAAGATGAAAATTATGCAGTACTAATGCAAAGATAATCTGCTATTCACAAAATTGATGTGCAAGACAGTAAATGAAGCACTTAAAGGTGCAAGAAAATTTACTGAATGATCATCTCCTCAAATCTGGATGTACTTTCAGGTGATAAGAAAAAAAAGGACATTTGTGATAGAAAAATGTCATGGGCCATATCATTATCAGAAAGTCAGAACACATGCTACTTACTATGTGACTTCGAGGATATCATTGTTTCCTGGATTCCACTTTCCTCGTATAAGCCTTTCCACAACACGGATAAACCCATATCCATTACCTGAAAAAAACAAAACATATAAAGATTTTAACTTTGGAAGTTGCAAAGAATAAGGGATAAAAAAATCATGCAGCCTTTGAAGGATATAAAAATCCAGAACGGAACAACACATTCAAATGCTTCAACTTCAAGAGATCAGTAACATCTAATTGCAGCATGGCAGCAAAACAAAACAGCCGTTCTAGAGTTGGGTCTGCGTGTGGTCATATAGGACCAAAACTGACGATGTTCTGTGAATGTTTATGATGGTATGTACACTGTACAATACATAATCATGAAAAAAACAAAAACAACTCCCCTCTCAAAAAAAACAACAACAACAACAACCCAGCATGCCTTGCTTAAGGGCTCACAATCTCACAATAGTTTTTTTCTTCTTGATTATTACGACTGCTTCCCCCACTGGTTTTAGATTCCAGACAAATCTGATTGATTTCTCAAGCCATTTATCAGTAGTAGGCCTATAACTAAACAATAACTTTATTTTAATACTTTTCTCTGTTTTTCATTTTTCATTACTAAAAATCCTATCTCTCTCTCTCTCTCTCTCTCTCTCTCTCTCTCTCTCTCCCTCTCGTTTTAATTTTTATTTTCTTCATATTATTTGTAGAGTACAGTCAATTAATGTTGAATTTAAAACTTAAAATGCATGGATCTAACATTAATTTCCTTTGAATTTTGAATTTTGGACATTTTTCTGTCATATTTTTTCCCTGTGTTTTCCTTATAAACCTTCTGAAGTTAAACATTTATTCACCGTATAAGTACACCAACAGGGGTGTAGATTGGCAGAAACTGCATAAAAGCAGGTTTTCCAAAATGTACAAAAATATTCAAATTCGTGGTAGAATCTAGATCTAGTTTGTGTGGAAACTGAGGACTGAATTCAATTTAAAAAGTCACTTGTTTTTCTCACCTTCTCTTCCTGACAATAATACCAACCTAGCAAGGTAACTGAAGTGCTGGTTCTTCATTCAGAGCGGGCTTTGGGAAATTCAGTAGTGTAATTTAGAGTAAGATACCCTGCCTGAAACCATTTCCTACTGCAATCCACATTTTGTTCAGATTACTTTTTTTCCTGTGAACTGTCTTGTAGAAACTGATTTCCCTGCATTTTGATAGCTAACACGTTTAGGTTTCTCATGAAAAAGTTTAATCAGAATATTTTTTTTTTTCTGATTACAATCAGTCAGAGAGGAAAAAAAAATAGCTGCCAAAATAGTTTGGGCACACTGAAGAAAATGATTTGGCAGTGAAAAATTTAATAAGGACTCTTTTAATTTTTAAAAAAAAGTTTCTTTTTTTAAAATGTAGATATTTTTTACATCCCCCAACGACACAATCTAGATCATTTACAAGGTGGGGTTTGACCATGCCTGTAAGGGCCAACCTCAGCTGAGCCAACAGAAAGACTGAAATACTAAATAGAAATTCTCCTACTCCTACTCAGGAATGGAACTTGGGTCTTCTGTGTGAAACATGAAGTGGCTTATAATTAGCTATCCGCTATACCACAGACACCGACTGTTTCTTTTGATCCAAAAACACGAGAGAGAGAGAGAGAGAGAGAGAGAGAGAGAGAGAGAGAGAGAGAGAGAGATAGATAGATAGATGATAGACAGATAGACAGACAGACAGACACAGAGAGAGAAAGACAGAGAGAGAGAGAGTGAGAGACAGACAGACAGAGAGAGCTAACCTTTGATAACCCCTCCAAGCAGAATGATGATGTAAGCCCCTGGGTAGACGCGAGCAGCCTGCTTCAGCCCCAAGAAGATGAACCTGACCCGCAGGCACTCTTGTAGGACAGAGGCAGAGAGGAAGACCGGAGGCGACAGTGCAATCTTGTACACAGCATCATAAGGCGAGTAGTTCATCAGATACCTGGGAAAAAAAAAATTCAACACACGTGTGACGATATAAGGATGATGAGATAGATCCTAAATAGGTGGTCCTTGTTTTAGTACGTGTTTTACGGCACCTGCAACAAAAAAAGTTCATATAAGTGCCGCAGATTAGGTGTTACACGAGAGTAGCATACACAAAAAAGAAGGAGCGGAGATAAAGACAACAGATGTTTGATAGAAAAGAAGGAGCAAACCACACCTGAGCACCTGCCAACTTCCCACAATAGGTGGTCCTCTTTGACAATGTCTTCATAATGTTATAATAAAACAAGCAAAGAGGGGAAGCAGGGAGTGGTCATTTGCACAGGAGATTGTCTTGAACATGTGGTCATTAGGGAAGGTTCAACTTTATTTAGAAAGCCTTTATTGAGGGTTCTTCCTAAATAGAAATTATTCATTCCTGTCCATAATTTCATATATATCTTTATACATTTGGGACTTTCTGAGAGCACTTTTGTATGTTGTTATCGATCCAAGAGCACTTTTGTAACCAGTTTCTATTTTAAGCGTGTGTAAATGCCACCAATTGTTTTTTTATTCATTTTTTTGCATTTTTCCATCCATCTATTCCTGGGGTTAATCATTATGTTAAATCTGCATTTGGGACTTTCTAGATGTGATATTGTGACTCACTATATATTTCTATTTTTTCATTCATCTCATATTTCTATTTTCATAACTGCAATTAATGACGTCTTCTCTCTTATTTCCCCTCTTTTCTCTTAGTGCAGGTAAAACGGCAATTAATAGAGGATACCTTATTCGACGACCAAATTTCATAATATTGTTATCACTCGTTCTACAGGGAAAAAAAATCATATCAATAACAGCAAAAACAACAATTAATCCACGAGTCAAGAACCAGCAGAAACAAACCCTCTCATTGTTGGAGACTGCCACTTATCAGCCTAGTGACTTATCACTTCGGGTGGTTGGCGGGCGCTCTGGTGTGGTTTGCTTCTTCTTCCCTATGAAACATCTATCGTCCTTATCTCCCCTTCTTCTTTTTTTATGTTTGTTACTCTCTTGTAACACCTCTAATCTTCTGGCGCTCATATGACCTTATGCAGTTGAAAGCGCCGTAAAACTTCTACTAAAACTAAACTGACTCATCACTGACACAGCCTTAAACTTAAGCCTACACGTGACAAGGGTCATCATCATCATTGCCTTTCTCACCCTGCACCAGGGTATAGGCCACGGACAAGCACCCCCCCACTTTTCTCTATCCTGGGCTAGCCTCTTGATGTTATTCCATGTCTTCCCACTTTTCTGTACATCGATTTCTGTGATTCTTCTCCAAGTTCCACGAGGTCTTCCCCTTGATCTCTTGCCCTGCTTTATACAAGGTGCGAACATTCCACGACGCAATCCGGAGAGACTTGTTTGACAGAGAAGGTTTCGGGTCAGAAGAGTCCTCTCGGCTTTGTCCGCTGTCCTTCATTGTTCCTGCTGATACAGAAGCTCCTCCGTCTCCCAAGATCGAAAAATAAAAAGCTGTGTTTGTCCGTGTTTCTGTAACGTACTGTTTTTTACTGGGTTGGGTAGTTGGCCCTCTGCAAACTGGCACTTTTCGGGCGACCAGACCTATGCACTTTTTGTCGCCTCTTACGACACACAGTATCACGGCAGGTGTATTCTTTGCTCCCCCATAGTAAAACTACGGGGCCCCCCACCAGCAGGGGAGACGTGACAAGGGTACAGATGTTTTTTGTTTTGATTTTGTTTTAGTAACAGTTTTCCTGCACTTGAAACACAAAAAGGTCAACTAGGTGCTGAAGATTATGGATGTTACCACCAGCGAGTAATATACTGAGAAAAGAAGAAGGAAAGATAAGGATGATAAGTGTTTGATTGGAAAGATGGAGCAAACCACACCAGAATGCCCGCCAAACATCCATGAACAGATGGGTTACAGCACCTGTATTTCTTCCCCTCAGGCCCATTCCTTTCAGCAGTCCCTTAAGTTAAAGAAGAAAAAATTCCAAATAACAAAAGAAGAAAGTTTTGGAAGATAAAAGGATTCGTTTACTTTTTGTTTGAGTAAAGAGATACACATCTGCTATTGTTCTTATCACCCCTCCTTTATTTGTGTTTGTTCATCTCTTGTAACACCTCTGATCTTCGGCACTCGTATATATTATGACTTTAATGTGTTGATTTGTTCGTTTGAGTAAATAAGAAGCACATCGACACAATAATGGTCATTGAGTGCTGGGAAAAGGTTAGACAGACAGACAGAAACAACAGAGGGAAAGTAAAGATGTAGGAGCTACCAGTGGCACCCTCCAACCACCCGCTTATTGTGTTGAAAGTGCTGAAAAACATACTAAAACTGAATGAGATGCACATCAACATAATAATAGTTATTTAGCACTTGGAAAAGTAAGACAGACAGACAGAAACATCAGAGGGAAAATAAAGAAGCAGGACCTACCTACCAGCTGTGCCCTCCTACCACCCCACTCAAAATATTGACGACAAAGAGAAGACCGACAGCGCCTATGTATCTGTGGCACTCACCAGACCAGGGTGAGGTAGATGATGAGAGCATTTTCCTTCATGACGTCCACCAGGGGGTCTCCAAACAGGAAGTTGGCCACAAAAACACCCGACAGACCCGCCATGATGGTGCAGAACCACATGGCAAACGGGTGCTCCTGTCGGAAACGGGGACCTGTTCAGTGATTGAGAATCTGTTAAGACTGTACATTCCATCTCGGAGTCTAAGGTCATCAGCTGACAAAAAGAAATTTATTTTACCATCTATGAAACTTAAAATAATGGGTGAAAGGGCATTTGAATACCAAGGCCCCAAGATCTGAAATGCTTTACCAAGTACTTTAAAAGAGATAAAATCTTTTGATTCATTCAAATTTTAAAATTAACAGTATGAATATTTGGAGTGACTTTCTTTTAGTAAGAACACAACGTTTTATGTTACTATTGTACTTTGTACTGTATTGTAAATTGCTCAGAGCCTGTGTACTTTAATCGGGATTGAGCGCTATAATATAAATGTCATTTATTATTATTATTATAGTGAGATCAACAAAGAACAATTTTGTGGAATTTACATTAATAAATCTGTATCCATAGATTACAAAGCAAATGTATTGAAAAAATTTTCTCTCTGTCTCTTCACGTTTCTCTCATTCTCTTTCATTCCACCTGTCTATCTATCCTTTTATCGAACCTATCTCTCCATGCAGTTGTGAGCACCGTAAAACTTTTCCCTAACTAAACTGAACCATCCCTCCATCCATCCATCCCTCCATCCATCCACTATACATCTATGTTACGGACCAACCTGCTATAACCGACCATCTACCCAAGACAACCACCTCTATGCAAACAACCGCTTCTCATTTATCCCCTTGCATTTTTTTTCTATGTTGTTATGACACTGTACAAGTGGACCATTGTGATGTCAAGGGACATGACTCTTATCTTTATTATGGGGACAAGATAATTAAGGGAGCGGCACGCCCTTGGATGACGTCACAATGAGCCGCGGGAAATAGGCCGACGTCGTCTGAGAGACACTCACTGAGAGGTCAGTCGCAGACAGGACAAGGACAAGGCAACATCTATCCTAGACGGGGGCCCCCTGACAGCCGCGATTCATCGGACCGCCAGGTAACTTTACAGACCACCTGTCTAAAATAACAACTTTTCTACTCCACAATGGGTCATCTTCTTGGACAGGCTCGACTGCATATATAAAATTATTATATATATATATATTTTATGGTAATATATAGCCATTTTTATTTTCAACTACCATTCAAATACAATTCACTTCATAAACATGATTTTCAAAATTAAAACCAGAAGTCGAAAAAATATATTGTAAATCTATGCATGTATAATTTAATCTAAATCACCTACAAAGATGCTAATCCTTAATTAAGCAGCTCACCCAAATCCTTTGAGTCCTCACGTACTATCGTGCTTGCAAGGAGGAAATGTGCGCCGAAAAACACCGGAAACATGTCCACCTCCATCACCCACTTGGCGAACTGGCTCACTTCTGCCGCCATAGCTGCTCAAGTACTCGGTGGGTAGCCTAACTAATTAATTAATCAGTCGGAAAGAGCCCTTTTCATGGAGTTTTCACAAAACTCCTTGCAAGGTCTGCTTCAGGGATCCCTTCTCTTTTGTTTAATTGTTTCGTTTTTCTCTTCTGTGTCATTCAGCAAGGTGAATTCCACGTAGAGCTAGCACAGCTGTTATTTGTCACCGACACTGCTTGGAGTTGCTTTGCTTGTTCGTATCTTGATAAAGAGACACTGCACACAGTGGGTCCTGAAGCTAGGTTGCTTAGAAACAAGAGAAACGGAAAGATGGAGGTAGGGAAGAGCTTTGTTGTCAGTTGTCCCCTGGTTGTCTTACATGTTGTTCTTCTTGGGGTTCTTGATCTGAGGGTGGAAATGAATAAAAATCAGTGTTAGTTTGTTAGTTTTAGGTTTAGATTAGAGGTTTTACAAGAGAGTAACAAACACAAAAAAGAAGGAGGAGAGATCAGGACAATAGATGTGT